AGCAGCTCTTAACATCATCCAGTGTGGCTTGTTAACTCATTTTGTCATCATTTGCATCAAGGAACTGTCACACTGTGTTTAGGCCCAGTGGTGCTAAATGCTAACGTCAGCGGCGCAGACTCAGTGATAGCGCTAACATCACTAAGCAAAATGCTTACTGTACAATCTTGTATTGTGTTAACATGCTAATATTTGCTCATAAGCACTACACACATAGACCAAAATACTGGATAAATAAGGTTTGACCTGGTGATGGTGCTAGATGCAAAGTCAACAATAAAGTTATTACAGTCAATCCTGTGAAAGACATGAATCTCTGTACCAAATGTCATGACAACCCAATCAACAGGAAATAAACATTTCTCTAAAAAAACGAAGATATCAGCCGTATGAATCAGAATCAGAATCTGCTTTATTGGCCAGGTGTGTCGGTATGGTTAGCAGGATTCATCCTTTGGGGACCGTGAATGCCTGTCCAAATTTTTTTTGCCTATCCTTGCAGTAGTTGAAGGACCTGCTTTATGAAGGCATGGCCTTTGTAGCGGTCACAGGTCGTCATGGCTGAACCAAAATGAGAAGCTCTGGTCTATGGAGGATTTCCTATTTACATTACCACTGTTCCTGCACATACCATTGTGTTCCAAATCACAGCTCCTGTTGTCTAGTAACCTCGACAACTGCTCTGCTCTCTGCCAGTGTGCAAAGAATCTTGGGATAGGGTGGGACTTGAAAGCTCAACCAGCTGGATCCTTTGTAGCCTGGCGAAAGAAGGATGCATGTCTCAGCTGAAAGAGCCTTCAAAATGGTGGATTAAAGGTTTTCTGTGAAAGTAGACTGGGATGACAAAGGTTAAAAAAAAAAACTTGTGTCCAACATCTTTACTTTATCAGTAAAAACAGAGGAAATGCTGGCAAAGGAAGCAACACTCTTATAGGCTGGCAGGATTTCCAGTAAGCATGGTCTTTATTTGGAGAAACATTTGGTTCCCAGTTGTCTCCATCATGCTCACATTTGTTTCTAATACTGTGTTTTCAGTGAGGTACTGCAGTCAGTCTGATAATGACATACTGATGCAACTTCGCTATTTTAAACTTTAACGACCTGTGTTGGTTCATTAGTAATCAAAGACTCTGTCCAACACCAAAAAAGGATTTGACTTCCTGTCTCCATGTCTGGGAAGGAAAAGTGAATTTCAGGGAAGTTGTGTGAGGACAGCGAGGGGTAACAAGTGTGAGTCAGCCTTCCTGACCAGTGACCCTCCTCTACTGCTTCTCAGGGATGTGATGATGAGCTCTAACATGTTTACGATTAAATGCTGCTCGGTTTCCGAAAACGTCTTCAGTGGCGTCACTCTGGAACGCAGTTTGGAGGAGATGGAGACTGTGTTTGTGAATGTGTGTGGGTGTTGAAGGGTTTGCTCGATTTGTGGTTTCGTTATGATAGAAACTAATCACAACATCGCAGGGGAAACTGACACAAGATGTCCCGAGAGACAAATGATTAATCAGTAAATGGAAACATGAAAGAAGACTAATGTTACTGCGTGTTTGTATTTTTTGTGTATAATTGTTGGTGTGTGTGTTTGAAAATACATGTACTTGTACATGGGCCGTGTGCACTTCCTGGTGTGTTTTTTGTGCATGTGTTTCTTAATATATGTGGTTGTTTGTGTGAGTGAGAATGGGCGTGGGTGTGTGTGCACATAAACCATGGGTCTTTTCTCTGAAACGATGCCAGCAGCACTGTTTACTGTTTACTGTTGACTCCCTGCTGCAGCCTTGCAGCATCACACAACTCTGGACACTACAGTGTGTGTCGAAGGGAGGTTTCAGATCCATGGTGGCATAGGATGAGAGGTCAGGGGTCATTCAATTTAATCGCATTAATCCTGCTGGGAACATGAATATACTTTGCCATGAATATATTTTCATGGCAATTGTGCCAGTTGTAGAAGGAGCTTTCTTATTGTCCACCATCATCACCGATCATACAGCAAATGGAAGAAAAGGAATAGGAAGTAGTAATGTTTTCCTAGCGGAGCCTTTCAATAAATAAATAAAACTCTCACAGGAAGAAATGGAGAATGAAAAAATATATAAATGAGCTAGATGAATTGTTACTCTGAAAATTAAGGGGAAACTTTGTAAACTTAAAATTGGTTTAATACAGAAAAGCTCCTGCACCTTCAAAATAAAATTATACACCGATCAGCCATAACATTATGACCACTGGCCGGTGAAGTGAATAACACTGACTGTCTGTTACAGTGGAACCTGTCAGTGTGTGGGGTAAATTAGGCAGCAAGTGAACATTCAGTCCTCAAAGTTGATGTGTTGGAAGCAGGAAAATGGGCATGTGTAAGGATCTGAGTGACTTTGACAAGGGCCAAACTGTGATGGTGAGATGACTGGGTCAGAGCATCTCCCACACTGCAGGTCTTGGTAGGTGTTCTTGGTCTGCACTGGTTAGTACCTACAACAGTGTCTAAAGAAGGACAAATGGAACTGGTGACAGGTTCATGGACACCCACGGCTCACTGATGATGAGGTTGACCTACTGTAGATTAAACTTTTAACTACCATTTGTACTTTTCAAAAGATTAAAATTTATTTGAATCTTTGTTAAAATGGTTGAAAATGAGAAACACTGTACATTGGTCTTTATGAAGAGAAGGAGTCAGGGGCTGTAGTGGTGATATTACAGTGGTGAAATTTCAGCAATATGATTGGATGACTATACATAGACATGCTGTACTGCAGAAAGCACAGTACATCTAAATGACACCAGGATTCTCCTCTGTGTTAACTACCAGTCTTCAACTGGACGCCAGTTTCCTTTAACTTTAAATCGTGGGTGTCCCTTTTCTTAAAAATTGTGGGTGCCTCATGTTGGTGAGAAGCTGCTTGTGTGAAAGGGAGGACTGTGTAAGACCAGATAAAATTTGAAACTCTATCAAACCCTGTGGGGAAATTGGATAGCAGACAAACAAACTTCACCTCAGCTCAGGCGAGTGGAAAGCAGGCCTGATGTTTCGGTATGTGCATCTGGGGCCGTGGGATATCCCCCCTCCTCCGCTGGTGGTGGGTGTTGTCCTCCCCCGGTCAGAAAAGTGCTGTGAAACCCCAGCACCATTCAGCTGAGGTAATGGAACTCATTGTGTCGATGGGTGACTTGAGAAGTTTCCCTGATAGTAATAATAAGATCGAACAACAGGAAAAGAGCGATGCAGTGTGCAAAAGTGAAAGATGCTGAGTCAAAGGATGGGGGCGCACCCAATGTTTTTAGCTGGGTGATGAGGTAATGGACTGATACTACTTTCTCATACAGCGACTCTGCACTCTGTTGGATGTTTAATAACATGGAGGTGGAATGAGCTGTTACCACTTCCTTTATGTCAAATGTCAATTTGTACAGCTGGCTGTAGTACAGACGAGTCTCCGTGCTGAACTGCTCAAATTTGAATTAGTCATAAACACTTAAGTTTTCTGACTTTAAGCACTGACACCGAAAGTCTGTGAATGCAGTGATCATGGAAATCTAGAAATTTAGAATGGACCTTACAACAGGGCTTCTCAAACGTTTTCAGGCCAGGGACTCCTCAGGCCCCTGACACACCAAGCTGATGGTCAGACATCAGTGAACATATGCCGCCCTGCAAGGTTGGCACTAGTAGGATCTTGTTGACAGCTTTTCGAATCCAGCGTGTTGAATCAACAGCAGACCCACCGGTGTGAGAGATCACTGTTCAGCTTAGAAAATCAAGAAGAGAAATGTTCAGGACAGCTGGTTCTTCTTCCATAACCAAAAGACTAACGGCAGAGAAGGCCACTTTCATTTGCAACTTCTTATCAAACATATTCTCACTTAGAAGCAGCTATAAACTGCCTGTAGTTAATGAGAGTTGCGTTGTTTACAGTTTGTATATCCATAGTCTAGTCATCTTCTTTCCCCTTTTTGAATGACAAATACCGAATACCACAACTTGCTGGTGTCTCTTCGTGCAGGTGCAGAACTAACGTGCTAGCTGGTTGTTATTTGTAGACTGTGGTATATTCAAGTGCCACTTTTTGGTCCAGACAAAGGTGATGTAAGGCCTTGCAACAGTCAGGCTTTGTCACTGCTAGTTTTTAGTGTAGCTACTGAATCGATAGCTACCTGTTAGCTTCATTCCCAGAATATTATTTTTGTACAGTTGTTGTTCCAGATATTTGTGCTGTAGTAAATTTTTGGACTATTAAGTTTAACTAAAACAGGTCAAAGTGTTTATCTGTCATATGCACAGTTAGAAAATGTGTTTCCATGTACAATGAAATTCTTACTTTGTCGTGTTTAAAACGTGTTGAATATAATATTATTTTACCTACAGTTTATTATTGCTTTCTGTCTATTGGCAGGCATATCAGCCTAAACGTTGACTATTTATAATTGTTACTAAGCAGACTAATTATTTATGCGTACCAACTTTATTTTATTAAGTAAATTTTTTATGGACTATTATATAAAAAGCCATAAAGATAGACACCACTGTTCAAGTTTTGCCACAATGTCAAACTCCCATTGTCATTATTTAAAATGACTATCACACCAAAACACGAGTGACATTAATAAACCACACAGAGCCACAGGGTTTAGATTAGAGCAGTAAACATTTATATCATAATTTATACTTTTTGACATTTTTGCACATAAATAACTATGTAAACCAAAATGTAAACAGAGACAGTCCTGTAGGAGATTCTCCTCCGGAGTTAAAGCTCTATTCAGAGAGGGAAATAATATGAAGCTTTGGTCAAACATTAGTTAAAGGGAAATGAAACAGAGGAGAGAAAGAGCTCCAGAGATCATATTGATGTGCAACTGCTGCAGAAAATCCCAGCTGCTTCAATAACATTAAGCTGAGTCTTAATGCCAGTATGACCAGTTTGAATGATATTTTCCACAGTGTAAATGGTGCAAGCATCGGCACTGAAGTTATAAAGTAAGAGAAGGGGGGCCAGTGCATAAAGGAAGGCCGAGGTGCTTTGGTGTATGCCAGTTCATTAATTAACAAGATGGCGAACAAGTAGGATTGAAGATGGGGCCATTGTTTCTCAACCAAATAATGACAAACAAGAACAACAAAACAAAAACATTTACAAAATGAGTGACCACAGCTAAAGAGCGAGCACTTCATGATATACACAAACAGTTCATCTTCCCTTCTTCAGCATTTTAATTCCTCCAGTCCCTCTTCCATTGCTTTGATTTTCCTTTTCTGTGTTGTTTGATGTGCATTTGAAATGAAAGCCAAGTGAACTTTGGTTACAAGGGGCCAAGAGTGAATCCCTGACATTCACCTTCCTGGTGGGTGCTGACAGTGTTGTAGAAACAAAACAAAAGGTAGGACCAGGAGGCACGGCTCGCAAGCCTCCCGTGTCCGTTATGTGCTACATGTCGAGCGTGCTGTGCCGCTCCTTTGGACCATATGAAGAGCTGCACTCCAGTTCAGTTTGGTTTCTTATTCTCCTTCAAGTAGCAAAACAAACAAACAAAAACCAAATAAATAGAAAGCTCCCACCTTCAGCCATCAGTTTAAACACACACACACTCATAACATCACATGCACACTGAGGTAACCGTTGTGACAAATATACAAAAAAGCCCTTTTTTCTTTCATTTAAATTAAGTAGGCATCTGTAAAGAAGACAGACAAACTCTAGGGGAGCTTTCCAGCAGGGTTGGAATAAAGCTCTTTTTTTGCTAAAGTAACAAATTTATGTGCCATATTTTGGCAAAAATTTTCAACCCCATTTAACCTGCTATACTGGTTTCAAAATTTAATGAAATAAAACCCTGAAGACACCCCTGGTTCTCTAGGTCAGAGGTTTCAGGATGGATAGAGACATAGAGAACTGACTATCTACAGAGAAATGGCCACAAAGAAAAATAAAGCAACAGCAACAGCAACAGAAAAAAAGTCCTTTTCACTGATTCCACTTGCTTTTGAAGACAACAAATAAAAAGTATAATAAATTAAGGAGGTTATATAACAACTAACTGATCCACCAAGCCAAAGTAGAGACCAAGTAATACCACAATAATGATAATAGCATTATATTAATTACATTAAAGATAAGTCCTGCCTAGATGATTGTCTCTAAGTATATTAAACGCTGAAGCCACTAAGTAGTCATGGGACAGTGTCTCTTGTAGCCCTGAGTACGTGAGTCCCTGATAGGTTGAAAACCTGTTGTGGTCGTGATGTCACTTCTGATGACAACTAGGTTGAGGATTATTTATTTACAGCTGCTGCTCCCGGCAACCCAGTGCACTGTGAGTCATGCAGTCTTGACTCTATGTCCCTTGGATTCAAAGGTCACTTAAGCGTGATCCTCTGACTCTTGCTTGACAGTCACGTTGGCAGGAAGCGGCGAGATGGGGCTGCTGTGCCGCTTTTTGATAACCGACGTCTCGTTCAAGGGCTCATATGCACCATAACCTGTGGACAGAAGCTCGGTGGCGCCACCCTGGTGGTGTGGATGGAAGTGGGAGGACTTAAGGTCGGTCTCTCTCCAAAGCATCCCTAAGACCTGCTTCTCCAAAATGGCCTCCAGCTCCACCCCTCCCTGCAACTGCTCCAGCCTCTCAGCATGCTCACTGATGTCGAAGCGGTCAATCTCGTCGTTGGCACGGTGAACCTCTTCTAGCGCAGCTGGACTGCCAGAGCCTGAGTTAGCTGCTAGGCAGTAGCCCTTCAAGTGAAGCCGCAGGCTGCACAGGTGGATGTAGTGGCGGTGGCAGTGGGGGCATTTGTGTGGACGTTCACGAGAGTGCAGGCGCTTGTGCAGCTTGAGGTGGACAAACTGTGTGAACTTGGCTGGGCAGAGTTTGCAGTGGTAAGGCTTCTCCCCCGAATGGAGGCGCAGGTGAGTTTTTAGGTTGCTGGTGCTGCTGAAGCGCTTGTGACAAACCTGGGCGAGGAGAGGGGACAAAACAAATAATGTCAGCGGCTTGTAGCAGCCCACTAACTAGCTGTCATTCTGGTCATTAACTCATCTGTGTAGGAAATCCGACTAATCAAAATACATTGTCTTCAGCAGTATTTCTCACCTGGCATTCATGTGGCTTCTCCCCAGTGTGGACCAGGTAGTGTTTCTGCAGGTGGGCCAGCTGAGTGAAGCCTTTGTTACATGTCTGACATTTGAAGGGTCTTTCTCCACTGTGCACACGAAGATGAACCTGCATCGTGGAGAACAGGACAGAACTATTCAGATATTGTAATTATCAAAGAAGCCTTCAAACCTAAAGATTTAGTGGTAAAAACAGAATTAACTTGATAATTTGTCAATTGGTTTGGTCGGTGTAATGTGTTTCACTGACACATTTTGTGACACTCCTTGCTCCTTGAAGTGCCACAAACCTAGTGAATACACCTCAGTCCTCGCAGTACAAACGAATAGAACCATAATGATGTGTTAAATGAGACAGGCAAGCATGATGTTGAAAGCCAAACACAGAACAGTTATCTGGTGTCTCTAACCTCACCTTGAGGTTTGACAGCTGTCCGAAGGTCTTGCTGCACACGTTACACTCATACTTGATTTTGCCGTTCTGCTTCTTCAGTGGGTATGGCAGTGCCTTGTAGCCTGCTGAGCCTGCGCCTCGCTTCACTTTGGTCAGGTTGACGGCCTCCTCGTCGGACCGATGCTCGCTGGTGTTGCCCAGCAGGGCTGAGGTAGGCTTGGTGGGCATGTGTTCGCTGGGAGGCGCTGTGCCTGCTGTTGGGGAGCCACCGGAGGGGGCGTGGCTTGGTCCATGTGTGTGAGGGTGCCCTGGGAAGGGAAGATGAGGCCCTGCTTTGTCCTTCAGAGAAGTGGTGACTGAGAAGGCACTAGTGGGCCCAGGAAGGAGGAAGTCCCTCTGGGTAGAGATGGAGGAGGGTTGGACAGGGTCAGGCATCAGGAAGCGTCTCGCTGCTGTGTCGGAGGGCAGGAGGGGCACATGAGTGGGCAGGAGGGTGCTGTAGAGGGGGTACATCCTGTGAATGACCCCTCCCATGGTGGGGACGCCACCGCCAGGCAAAGGGTAGTGATGGGGCAGGAGGTAGCGTGAGTAGGGGGCTCCTGGAGGGTAGAAGGGTGAAGATAGGGGGGCAGATGGTGGGGAGTAACCAGGGTAGGAACCCAGTCCTGTGGGGTAGAAAGATGCTGGAGACGGTGCCAGGCCCAAGGGGCTCCCCTGAGGGCTACTGTCTGGGCTGCTCCTTGCTGACGGGCTAGGTGTGGCCAAAGACTGGCTGCCAGGTGAACGAGTTGCAGGGTAACAGAGCTGGCCAGCTTTGTGGCTAAGGAGGTCTTCATGGATATGAGACTGGGGCCTGAGGGCTGGGTAGACAGCTCGAGGATACAGGGGGCGCTCAGGGCTGCTGCTACAGTGTGGGCGGGTTGGAAGCGGCCGACTGGGCTCCCTCTTGGTGGAGGAGGAGGATGAGGTGCTGTTACATCCACGCAGAATGGAGAGGACACTGTGTTCCCTCTTGGGTGGGGTGGGGGTCACTATGACGGGGGCTTCAACTGAACACTCCTCGCTGCTCGCCTGTTGCTGCTTGAGGGACTGCTCTGAAGAGAGAGAGAGGAGAGAGGTCAGTGGGAGTTCACCAAGATGGGGACCCATTAATAATTGATTGAAAATACTAATCACAAATTCCCTTCTTTTTAACAAGACAAATACTCAAATTTGAGCATTTGTTTTCAGCAGAAGTGTGTGCGTGTGAGTTTGTGTGTGACACAGGGTTAAGGAACACCATAAGTAACTCAGAGGGCCAATTAAGGTGACAGACTTGATGAATGAGTGGGAGGGGGAGAGGCTGGGGGCAAAAGACAGGAAGTGAGGCGTGACAGTTGCCTTTGGGCATTATGCGTATTTGTATCTGTGTGTGAATCTGTGGTATGTGTACGTCTATGAAATCAAGATAAATCAAAATGTTGGCAGACAAATGAAGCTGATAGAAGGTTTCCTGCTAAAGATAAAAGCTTGGCCTCCACCTGCCTCCACACACACACACCCACACGGCATGTGTCAAGGCGCACACACAGAAGCATTTGTAGACAAAGGCCTCTGTCTGATTTGTTGACTCTTCCACTTTTGAAGAGCGCACACACACTTTTGATCAAACTTTCCCGATTTTTCTGGTTGCTAGCTATTGTTTCCAGGTCAAAGGTTAAATTAGCGAGCTTCCTCCTCAGTCACTCACACCTGCTGTGTCCTCTACATGATGAAAGAGTGGATTAGGAGGAGCTCTCACACACACTCTAAAAAGCCCTGGGATGTCAGCTAGCAGCACATCTCGGCTGTTAAATGGCCACAGACTGGCCATTAAAACGCAGCCATCTATTATCTATAAGCTCATTTACTGCCCAGACAAACTTTATACCACGAGGTTGCCCAGAGGGGAGTGTGAGTATATGTGTGTGTGTGTGTGTGTGTGTGTGTGTGTATGTTCTTGTACTTGCTATATAGTGAGGACCAAATCTTTTTACTACAGAATGAGGACATTTTTGGAAAGTGAGGACATTTTGGCTGGTCCTCCCTTTCTGAAACACATTTTTGAGGGTTAAAACTTGGTTTTATGGTTCAGGTTAGAATTAGTTTGAAGTTAGGTGTTAGGCCAGGGGTGACCTGGTGAGTGAGGGGAGTGAATCGGGGGAGTTGAGCAAATTTCACCAGTGCTGGCACTCAGGATTAACTTTGACAACCTCCATTTCTCTCTCTCTCTCTCTCTCCCTCTCTGGCTCAGGTGTGTTCAGTCAGTCAGCAATCAGCAGCAGGTCAGGCAGGGATAGTTGGAAAACAAGCAGGACAGCGGCCCTCGAGGACTGGAATTGGCCACCCCTGTGTTAGGCATGTAGTTTTGATGGTTAGGTGTTAGGGTAAGGGGCTAGAGAATGCATTATGTCAGTGAGTGCCCTCACAAAGGTAGAAGTACAAGAGTGTGTGTTTGTGAGAGAGGGAGAGAGAGAGAGAGAGAGAGAGAGAGAGAGAGAGAGAGAGAGAGAGAGAGAGAGAGAGTGTGATTGTCAAAGTTAATCCTGAGTGCCAGCACTGGTTAAATTTGCTCAACTCCCCTGATTCACTCCCCTCACTCACATGCACAGTCTAGACCACAGTACAGCAGCACAGCAGCAGCATGTAAACACTGAGGTTATCAGGTGGTCTTCTTCCTCATCCTCCTCTTTCTCCTCCCTCCTTCCCTCTTTCAGAAAACAAACAGGGTGGCCATCTTGGAGATATCAATCTGTCAACACAGCCCTTCTGCCAGGAAGTTCAAGTAGTCAACAGAGGGTGTGGGAGGGCCAACTCTACCTTCAGCACTCCCTCCTCCACCTTCTTCTGCTGTTTTCAAGTGGCAAATATATCAGGGCAAATGGACAGCACACACACACACACACACACACACACACACACACACACACACACACACACACACACATTATGTATGTTTGAGCATGTATGTATTTGAAAGGAGTGGGTGTGAATGTGTTGGCATGTCCTGCTTATGACTGTGTGTGTGAGAGTGCTTTTGTCAGCAGAGCAGACGTCTTAGAACACAACACACATGGCTGACAGGTGCTAACACTTAAAGAATGCAAAATGACAGTGACACAAAAAGACTATGAGCATAACTGAGAGGAGAAAGTGAGGGAGTGAGACAGTGGCACAAACTCATCTCACTCACACACATACACGTCTGGTTTTGCTATGACTTGTGCTGGAAAGAGCAAAACCAGAACGAGAAACATGATACAAACAATCGATGTTGTTGAACTCCTGAGGAGTGTAATACAGGATGTCGGGACTAGTAACTCTGGCACCAAAACTGGGACACAAAGTGTAATTTTATAAAAAGCCAGGACACAATGATGAGCTGCGCCTTCTTCTCAAGCTTGAGCACAAACTAATGAGTGTTATCAGAGACTTTAATTGATTAATGAACTTGAATGAAACCAATATTAATGTTTCAGAAGAAAGCAGCATTCAGATGGAATAGCTATTTTAACTTCTGTCATTCAAGCATTTCTCTAACAGTGGAGTGTTTTCCCTCCCTAAAGCAGGCATCACGAAAAATGGAAAGGAGGTGGCACTCCACTAAGTCAGAAGAGTTTTTCATAGCCTGGAAAGATAGTTTAATAACATATAAGAAAGCCCTTCATAGTGCCAGAACCGCATTTTATTCATCACTGATTGAGGAAAATAAGAACAACCCCAGGTTTCTTTTCAGCACTGTAGCCAGGCTGACAAAGAGCCACAGTGCTGTTGAGCTTAACATTCCCTTAGATCTCAGCAGCAATGACTTCATGAGCTTCTTTACAAATAAAATCACAACTATTAGAGAAAAAATTGGTCGGACCACTCCCACAGCTCTCACAGATGTGCCATCTACTACAATGGCTTTAGAAACATCTGTAAGACCTCATTTATACTTGGACTACTTCTCCCCTATAGATCTCTCTGAGTTGACCTCAACAATTGCTTCATCTAAATCATCAACATGTCTCCTGGACCCCATCCCGACCAGGCTGCTCAAAGACGGCTTGCCCCTAATCAACACATCCATACTAGATCTGATTAACCTCTCTCTATTAACAGGCTATGTGTCATGATTCGGTCCAGCTTTTATTTTGACGTTGCTTCCTGTTTTTGTTTTCACCTTAGTTTCGGTCTTTTTACGTTCTTCATCACTCGCATTAGTTTCGCCTGCTCCTTATTGTTTATACCTCTATTTAGGCAGCGTCCTCCCACAACGGCGCTGCCAGATTGTTCTAGACCGCAGCTCTGACTCTCCAGCTTTCCTTCGGTTTTGTATCTTGTGTTTCTGACCCGGACTGTTACCTTGGTATATTCGTTTCTGCTTTGCCCTCTTGTCTCAGACTGCCACAGTGTATGATATCGGACTTCCCTCTGGACTACGTATTTTGGATCACCTCTGTTGGATGTGTTTGCTGGCTCTGACCTCA